CTTTCCCTAAAGAGACAGAAACGGATGTTGAGAGAGTATTTTCTCTCCAAACATACACATCTCTCCTTTTGAACTTTCTCACAGCCTGAAACAGACCACTGTCCTCCCATTGATTCTTTGTCACTGTACTGAAGAGCTGCTTGCCCAATATGATAGTGCAGACAGAGAAAAGGTTTAAGCCTCCATCGTGTATCTCTGGATGTGAGACCCCCCCCTCACCTCCCACAGGTGCCTAGCAGCTCAAAACACCGCATTTCTTGCATCTAAATACTATATATGGTCGCACAAGGAGCTGCACAACCAAACACTAAGAGCACAGTTGGGAAGCATCAGGATTTAATTTACAAGGGAAAACATAAAGTATATTCAGTCAGCAGAGTATCCTGCATCTCAGAGCTCCTCGTTTCATCTGAAGCTTCAGAGGAGATTCAAAGACCAGATCACTTCATTTTGCAAAACCTAAACACAATGGGCAGACTTAAAATCCTAAACCTAGTATAAGCTTTGAGTTATAATACTGGTGTTTCCGGTTGTAAATTACTTAGCAGAAATGACAAAACAGACATGATCACACAAACACTGTGGAGGCATAAACTGAGCACCTCTGTATGAAACCAAGGGGCAAAATACTCTCTCCCTTCTATCCCACAGAACACAAGCAGTACCTCTTCCATCTGCACAATGCTTGTTTGAATGCTTTGCATTGCTGACTCCTGTCAGTACACATCACTCCAAGAAAAAGGCACCACAGTCAGAGCTGTAGGCATCCAACATGTTCTGTACAGGGGACAACAGGCATGACATTGTGGTGGGCTGACCGTGGCTGGATGCCAGGTGCCCACCAAAGCCTCTGTATTACTCCCCTACTCAGCTGGACAGGGGAGAGAAAATACAATGAAAGGCTTGTGGGTCGAGATAAGGACAGGGAGAGATCCCTCACTGATTACCATCATGGATAAAACAGACTCAACATAAGGAAATTAGTTTAATTTATTACCAATCAAATCAGAGTAGGATAATGAGAAACAAAAAAAAAACCTAAATCTTAAAACACCTTCTCTCCACCCCTCCCTTCTTCCTGGGCTCAACTTCACTCCTAATTTCTCTACCTCCTCCCTCCCAGCAGTTCAAGGGGACGGGAAATGGGGGTTACAGTCAGTTCATCACACGTTGTCTCTGCCAATCCTCCTTCCTCACCTTCTTCCCCTGCTCTAGCACAGGATCCCTCCCATGGGAGACAGTGCTCCAGGAACTCCTCCAACGGGCTGCAGTTCTTCATTAAGTGCTCCAGCGTGGGTCCCTTCCATGGGGTGCAGTCCTTTAGGCACAGACTGCTCCAGTGTGGGCTTTCCATGGGGTCACAGCCTTCTTCAGGCATCCACCTGCTTCAGCATGGGGTCCTCCCTGGGTTGCAGGTGTATGCTCCCCCATGACCTCCATGGCTGCAGGGGCACAGCTGCCTCACCATGGGCTGCACCACGGGCTACAGGCGAATATCTTCTCTGGCGCCTGGAGCACCTCCTCCCCTCCTTCTGCACTGACCTTGGTGTCTGCAGAGCTGTTTCTCTTACATATTCTCACTCTTCTCTTCTCTTCTCTTCTCCAGTGCAGTTTTCTGTTGCAGTTTTTTTCTCTTTCTTAAATATGTTCTCACTGAGGCACTACCACCATCGCTGATGGGCTCGGCCTTGGCCAGTGGCAAGTCCGTCTTGGAGCTGGCTGGCTTTGGCTCTATCAGACATGGGGGAAGCTTCTACCAGCTTCTCACAGAAGCCGCCCCTGTAGCCCCCCCATTACCAAAAGCCTGCCACACAAACTCAATACAGACTTACCAAGTCTACTCTTTAAAAAAAGAGCTAACACAGTGCTTCCAACATCACCTCTGCACTTTCCTTTCACCTTGTCCCACCTCTGCCCAGCAGGAGAACAGTGAATTAACCATGAAGCGAACACTGTGCAGTTGTTCACTAAAGACAGCAAGTATATGCTACCCTTAATAGCTTTATGCTTGAGTTTACTGTTTTTTTTGGAACAACTTGACACATCATTCCGCTGTTGACTTTCAGCAAAAAGAAGGAAAGTGAAACAACTGGTGCCAATGGAGTATATTTTTTCACAGGTTCCCTCAAGAAGCTTTGGCCATTGTATGTAGGAGCAAAACTGAATACTCAGAAGAAGACCCTCAATTATGACCAGTACTTTCTGCAGAGTAGCTGCCTCTAAAGCTTTAACATTCAGAGCCCATACCTACTTGTGGAATTGTATGAAACGATCAGGCCAGGACAATAAACAACTGTCCTAAAGGAAAGCTTTCTGCAGAAGTATCTGCAGGATAAATGTTAGCAGTTTGGCTACATAAACAAATAGTTTTGGAATGGAAAGCACAGTTATGGTCTGTGATATCGTCTAAAGCACATGATGCAGCACAGAGCCAACTTCTGTTGTAAACTGCTATAATGTGTTATGCAGCTGCGTATTTACCTGATTTCCACGCTCGGTTCTGGTGACATAATCAAAATCACAAATCACAAAAGCAGTCAAGTAAGTTGACATTTTCAGCGAAGTGTTAAATGTGGTCACCGTCCATAGGCTTCCGTTTTCATCCTTCATTTCAGATACATCTAGAAAAAATATAAAAGAACTATTTAAACCATTGCTGTTCCATAGCAAACAAGCAGTTTTGTGTTCTCTGCATTGTTTTTTACACCTCTCTTCAATTTGCTGTATTTCTGCACTAACTTCCTATGTTTCTGATTGAAGGCAAGCAGCCAGGTTCATTGTTACTGACACGTCTCAGAGTTGTGACCTTCCATGCAAACACCAAAAATCCACTCTTGAGCTCCCTAACTGAAGTCTTGGAAGGATATCAAACTGTGTCAATTTTAGGATGTGGGCAAACTGTGGACAATTTATCCCATGCTGTATATCTCTAAAATGTATAACCTATTATGATTCAAATATAGTCCCTGTGTGTCCAAGAATTATTAAATACTTAATCAGATACCTTCCTTCTAAATAAGGGAGATAGGAACAAGATTGTCAGAGGAAGAAAATACTTCAAGCAATTCTCACAAAGATCTCATCTATTATAACTCCTAAGTTACTTAGCTTCCATGCAAACCTCATAAAACTTCTTTTTCATTGCTGAAAATTATTTAGGTGAAAAGTAAAGATTCATGGCCCTGAACCGCAGAAAAAAAGCCATTAAGTAGACAAGAGATACAACAGATTTCTGTAGGAATACTAATTCATGGATTTTGTTTGGAATCTTACACACCACACACATCCCAGATGAGATCCCAGCAAGGGACAGGAAGATCATCTCCATAGCCTTATAGTCCTCTCGTTCTTATTCTGCACATACACAGGAGGATACAGTGTCTCTGTCTGGTAAAACAATTTTTTGTATGTTGTAAGTATGTCTTCAAATCTACTTAGAATGAAAGGAATCCTTTAATACCACAATTACAGGCTTTGCATACTGGGGCCACTGTTTTGTTTTAAGTAGCTGTCATTCAGTAAGAGAGACACACTGGCTAAGCAGTAAATGCCAGGAATCAAACCCTATGCAGCCTCCATCAACTACAAGAGAGCACATCGCAACTGACAAAAGGATGGAATTATTGCCATATAGACACATAAACTATGAATAACTGCCTCCAAATTTTTAAGTTCATAGGCACAGATTTTCTGGGCATTTTCAAAGCATTAGCACATGGACAACAGAGCACTGCTGTATCAGATGGTATAGTCTGCACAGATAAATTACACACCTTTTAAAAGTAATTTAGGGGGAAAAAGCCCATAAGTCTACTCGCTGTTTACCTACCAATAGCAGGCATGTTGGAAAGAGCCACATAGCTTGGGTCATGGACAATTCTGATATTAAATGTGGCCTTCATGGCAGGTTCATCAAAACATGGGTAAACTGTCCGGGCATACGCTGGTTCCAGTTGGGAGGCAATCAGCATACTGTATTAAAAATAGAAGTAAGATTAATCCAGCATGCTACCGTTGATCAAAATCAATATACAGTGCATAAAAACACCAAATCAGAAAAAGTAAGAAGTAAAACACATAGATATGGAGATTTGGTAAAGGTTTAGTTATTACTAATAGCAATGATTAAATCCCTGTGCCCAAACGACAGTTCAGTTTGGATGCTCCTAGAGAAAAGCTATCTTTTCTAATGAAGTCCTTTTTTTTTTTTTCTCATAGGCCTTTTCCAGGTATCATATGTTAAATATTTGAACTTTTCAAAAGCTTTTTAAATCTTTGACCTTTTGCCTGACAAATTTAGTGACCTTCTACAATGGGGCTACAACATTGGTGGATAAGGGAAGAGCAACTGACGTCATCTACCCGGACTTGTGCAAAACCTTTGACACTCTCCCACACAACATCCTTGTCTCTAAAATGGAGAGACATGGGTTTGACGGAAGGACCACAGAGTGGATAAGGAATTGCCTGGATGGTTGCACCCAGAGAGTTGTGGTCAACTGCTCAGTGTCCAAGTGGAGACCAGTGACAAAGTGATGTTCTGCAGGGATCGGTACTGGGGCCGATGTGGTTTAACATCTTTGTCAGCGACATGGATGGTGAGATTGAGTACACCCTCAGCAAGTCTGCTGATGACACCATGCTGTGTGGACTGGTTGACATGCTGGAGGGAAGGGATGCCATCCAGAGGAACCTTGACAGGCTTGAGAGGTGGGCCTGTGCAAACCTCATGAAGTTCAAAAAGGCCAAGTGCAAGGTCCTGCACGTGGGTCGAGGCAATCCCAAGCACAAATACAGGATGGGAGGAGAGTGGATTGAGAGCAGAACTGAGGAAAAGGACTTGGGGGTGCTGGTAGATGAGAAGCTTAACATGAGCCAGCAATGCGCACTTGCTGCCCAGAAAGCCTACTGTGTCCTGGGCTGCATCAAAAGAAGTGTGGCCAGCAGGCCAAGGGAGGTGATTCTCCCTCCCTACTCTGCTCTTGTGAGACCCCACCTGGAGTATTGTGTCCAGCTCTGTGGTCCTCAGCACATAAGAAGAACATGGACTTGTTGGAGCAGGTCCAGAGGAGAGCCACAAAAATGATCACAGGTCTGGAGCACCTCCCATATGAGGACAGGCTGAGAGAGTTGGGGTTGTTCAGCCTGGAGAAGAGAAGGCTCCAGGGAGACCTTATAGCAGCCTTCCAGTACCTGAAGGGAGTCTACCGAAGAGATGGGGAGGCACTCTTGATCAGGAAGCCTAGCGACAGGACAAGGGGTAACAGCTTTAAACTGAAAGAGGGTAGCCTCGCGGCAAACTGAGGAAGTGTGATCTGGATGATCA